ATACTCCATGAAAGTCTCATCAGAGCAAGACAGCTTAATATCTAGTATCATAAACACAAACATTTACAAATCATATTATTAGCAGGCTATTTCTCAACATGCTTACCAATGGGCGGTGTGCTACTGTCTGAACCTCAGGTGCAACTGCCGTGATCACCATAAACCGGAAGCCACCAAGTCTTTTCACAATAAAACGAACCATTTCAAAATAAAATGACAGAAGACTAAATCCTCAAATAAATCATTCAGACCTTCAAATAAATGTAAATAACAGAAGTCTTGACAGCGTGGCCTCTTTGAGTGACAGGTGGGTGTTGTCGTAGTTAGCCTCTCTGTTAGTCTGAGCTCTTGTTTTTAAAGGTGAGTCAAATTATACTATTATTTTATTTATATCTTAGCACTAATTAGCAGGTATCAATGTCGGTGCTCACCATACTTGGCTTGTTAGCTTAGGTCGTTAGCAAGCTAATTATCCAGCAAATGAAACAGCCTTGGGTTAGCGTTCGAGCAAGATGCCAAGGTAGCGATAGTGGAGCAGCTTACTCTGAAACCTGTCACGAGAGGCGACGTCCATCTTTGACCAGTAACAACAGCGAGGAGTTCAGAGACGAAACAGAAGACGGAGCAGTTGAACAAAGACTTGTCATTAATATGTGTAGAAAGACACTGAACTGCCTGTGTGTTTCCCTCCTTCAGTGGCACAGCTTCCAGTGGACCGACAAGACTCCGTTTGAGTTCGAGCGATGGGCTTTTCTGCAGCCGGACAAGGAACCTGGTGAGGAGTGTGTGGAGATGAACTACGAGAGTAAGTACACAGTGATGTCAGACGTGTGTGTGGGCAGAACCCGAGTGTGTGGTTCTACAATAAAAATCATTTAAAGTTCCTTTCACACTAGACAAGGAACCGACTAACAGCTGCTAACAGCTGCTAATATCTGCTAACATCTGCTGATAGCTGCTTACATCTTCTAACAGCTTCTAACACCTGCTAACATCTGTTAACAGCTGCTCACAGCTACTAACATCTGCCAACACCCACTAGCACCTGCTAACATCTGCTAACATCTTTTAACAGCTGCTAACACTTGCTAACACCTGCTAATATGTGCTAACATCTTTTATTTTCTTACACGTTGATGTTTGCATAGCCACCTGTTGTTTTACCTGTGTTCAAACAGTTTGATGTGAAGCTCACCTGTGTGACAGGTGTCATTATCATAAACACTGTTACAGACATTAGCTCATGATGCTTCCTGTTTTCCAGCCTGGGGTTACTGGAACAATGCTGTCTGCTCAGGGAGGAAGTACTACGTGTGCGCCCGGAGAATGTGATCATCATCTTCTTCATCATCATCTTCTTCAGCTGTCACATGTAAAGTCAGAGTGGTCCTGAAACCTGCACCTGAGCCGATGACCCTGAGCTGCAGGTGGACCAGACAAGTCACTGCAATAAACCATCAGCTGATACTTTCCTGCCTCCGGCTCTGTTTGTGTTTCTGTCGATCAGCTGACAATATCCCTCCTGAGCTGTTTACATGGATAAGAAAAATCAATATTTACTTTATTGATATAAAGATTTTTTTATGTATATTACTAATATACAATATTAGTAATCAATACGTTTGAGGTTTAGGATGTTTATCAGACATAACAAGACATTTGTAAATTAAGCCATTTGCTTTAAAAAATTCACAATTTTCTGACGTTATTGGCCGAACAACTCATTGATCAATCAAGAAAATAATCCACGAGACTTTGATTTGAAAAAATCAATAAGCAGGATTTATTTATTGTTATACAGGTGTTATTACAGGTGTGTATCAGTAATGTTGATGTGCAGCTGCAAACACAGTTTTCGTGTTAGCAATTAGCCGTTAGCACCAACACACACAAACACACACACTGATGATGAACTTTCGAACACACACATGTTTCACCTGGTGCAGGTGAGAGCAGCGGGTCTGGACTCTGTGGACTCTACAGACTCGGACTGAATGATCCACCTGCTTACTCAGCCCGCCCCTTACCTGTTCTGGTTCAGGTAACTTTGTCAAATAAATAAAAAACTTCCAGTCTTTTTGAATAAACCCTTAAATCTACCCTGAGTTGATTCTGTTTCCGGTGAATTTGCTCATTGATATAAAGTGTTGAGTATTTTCTGTTAAACTTCATGTGTAATCAGACATGAATAAAAGGATGATAAATAAATGATTATTTCATTCATCTTCAGCAGGTAACAGCTGATTTGAAAATAAAATTTGTCAGTGACATAAATCATCACAAAGACTTCAAAGTTTCCAGAGTCAAAAAAATCTAAACTGCCGATGGAGGACATAATCACAAATATCGTTTGATTGTTATTTGTATATGATATTATCAGGAGAAATTAACTTTTGTTATCGTACGTCACAACAAAGCAGTCACCAAGCCCCGCCCACCTGGACCCACCATCCAAACCTTGCAGGATTTGGTTTCTCTGAGTGTTTTTACCTGAAATCTGCTTTATTTTTATTGGATCACTCAGAAAACAGTCAGCCAATCAGAAGAGAGGCTCAGAGCCTCCTCTCTTCACCTCTGATACACTGAGATGGTTTTTATATCTTCTGATGGATCAACACTTCAGATAGAACACAGAAGAAGAAACATGGAGCTTTAATCTGAGACAAGATGAGAGAAAAAATAAAAGTAATTTCACATGAGTTCCTGGCTCCAGACTACAGGGATAGAAAACTGCACTTCCTTCAAATAGATGAAGGTTTGTATTTATAAATGTTTGTATTATATTTGTATCTGAGACTGAGACCTGCGTTCAAACAACCTGTTTCAAGCTTCTGTGACCTCTGACCTCCAGCTGCAGTGACATTAACATAGAATGTGACATAACCAGTGACACCCACGGGGGGGGGTTCGGGGGGTCACACTGATTCTCTCTTTTTCTAGACTCCACTCTTCCTCCAATCAGTGTTCATCAATTAATAATCTGACTACAATTAAACATGTACCCAACGTTTTTATTTCAAATGTTCACGTCAGAAAAATCTTAAAAACATAAAGAAGAGGAAAAAGTTTAAAGATAAAGATCATAAAGGCAAATAAAACCAACATAAATAAGTAAACAACTTCAGTGTTTATCTAAATAATCCTCATTATTATGTCGGAGCTTTAAAGAGGTTTCTACTGTTTCTACTGTTTCTATTAGAGGACGTCGTCCTCCTGTTTGTTTTATTTACATCATGTGTAGGAAACATATGGATGGAGATTTATTCTCTATAGGATCTGATGCGATATTTATTTCACCTGGGAAAAGAGGGAAAAGGAGGGATAATAAAAACAGGTGGTTTATAGGAAAATAAATACAAAAAAATTACATGTTCTGATTGTAATGCCACGCCCACCTGCTCACCTGCTCACTTGCTCACCTGTTCCCTTATCAGCCCCCCCCACCTCTCTGTCTCTGTTGACTGTTTGACTTTTTATATCCTTGTAGAAACTAATGTCCCCAGGCAGCACATGTTTGTGTGTGTGTGTGTGTGTGTGTGTGTGTGTGTGTGTGTGTGTGTGTGTGTGTGTGTGTGTGTGTGTGTGTGTGTGTGTGTGTGTGTGTGTGTGTGTGTGTGTGTGTGTGTGTGTGTGTGTGCCGTGTGTGTGCGTGTGTGTGAGTGTGTGGTGTGTGCGTGTGTGCGAGTGTGCGTGTGTGCGTGTGTGTGTTGTGTGTGTGTGTGTTTGTGAGTGTGAGTGGTGAGTTTTTGTGTGTGTGTGTGTGTGTGTGTGTGTGTGTGTGTGTGTGTGTGTGTGTGTGTGTGTGTGTGTGTGTGTGAACCAGTTTGACAGGCTCCTGCAGGTTTTATAATGTTGCTGTAAAACAACATGTTTATTTCTTCTTCATGGATCTGTTTGTCTCTGGCCTCTTTTCTTCTTCTGGCCTTTAAAACATCTTGAAAATAAAAGTCAGAAACATCAAACCTCCCGCTTCAGTTCAAGACAAACGTTTCCCTCCATCTTGTTTTTATTGATGATCTGCTCCAATTAACAATCGAATTCTGTTTGTTAAACTGTCAAACAACACGTGTCTGTAACGTGTCTGATTTCATCACAACCTTTGTTCATATGTTGAAGAAGAAGAAGGAGAAGAAGGAGGAAGCGTCGCTGCAGTTTTCCAGCAGCAGGAAGAAAAATCTAACTTTGTCTAAACTCCCAGAAGGTGTGAGTGAATGAAGGATGATCTTTGCTGTTTCCATGTGCAGCTCTGGACAGTTTGTTTCATCGTGACCTTTAAAACTTAAAAACTAAAGAATGAGACTGACACTGAGGACGAGGAGCTGGAAACTCTGAGCTTCACAAAACTGGTTTTAACGTTTGTTCTGCACAATTTTCTCGACACGTGAAGAAACGTTTTGAATCAAACCTCAAATAAATGAATTACAAACGTCCCGACTCTCCGTCTGTCCTTAAACGTCTCTGAGGTCACAGCTGCTGCATCAGCTGATCCTCCTCATATGAACCTCTTGCTTTCATTAGAAACATGAGAGAAAATTCACTTAATGTCAAAAATCAGATTTTTATTTGAATAAAAAACTTCAGATTTCTAAAGATCAGTGTTCATCAGTCAAAACCTTCTTTCAGAAAAAGAAAAGTTGAATCAGACGTTTGATTTTCTTTGTGTGAAAAAAGATGAAAAGATTAAAGAATAAAAAGCTGCAGATCGACCTGTGAGGCGTTTGAGGTCTGACTGGATGTCTGGTCCTCGGGGCTTCATGTGGACTGACAGGACCGGTCCATCAGGTGAGGTCTGTCCAAACAGCCGAGACATCCCCTGGGGGGGGGGCAGGCCCCAAGACCTGCTGGAGGGCCCCGGGGCCACACTGCCCCCGGTATGTTTGGCATCTTCACCTGACCCCTCCCCCCACCCCTCCCACCTCTCCCTCATTTGCAGGTATAAAAGGTGGCGAGCTCCAGCAGCTCCTCACTCTCCTGCAGCCTCTGATCAGCTGACAGCCGCCATGACCTCCTTCTCCACCCGCAGCAGCTACATGTCCTCCTCCTCCATGAGGAGTTCCGCCATGATGGGCTCCTCCATCTCCTCCTCCCCTTGCCGGCTCAGCGCCGTGGGGTCCGGCAGCGTGTATGGAGGGGCCGGAGGATCCGGGGTCCGGGTCTCCAAGGCCTCCTTCTCCTCCCTCGCCAGCACCGCCTCCAACGTGGCGGAGAATTTCGACATTGCGCTGAATGAGAAGGCCACCATGCAGAACCTGAACGACCGGCTCGCCTCCTACCTGGACAAGGTGCGCTCCCTGGAGAAAGCCAATGGCGAGCTGGAGCTGAAGATCAGGCAGTTCCTGGAGAACAAGGCCCTGCCGGAGAGCCACGACTGGACCGGCTTCAACATCCGCATCAGAGAGCTGCAGGAGAAGGTGAGAGCACACAGCACCTGTACAACACCTGCACAACACCTGCACAGCACCTGTGCAACACCTGCACAACACAACACCTGTACAACACCTGTACAACACAACACCTGTACAACATCTGCACAACACCTGCACAACACCTGCACAACACAACACCTGTACAACACAACACCTGTACAACACCTGCACAACACAACACCTGCACAACACCTGCACACCACCAGCACAACACCTGTAGAACATCAGGAGGGGGTGGGGGTTCTTCACCCTGGCTTCCACCTGTCAGGCAGCTTGTCCTCTAGGGCTTGATATTCTCCACCAATCACGTGCGTCGGTTTAACATCGTTAGATCCAAGTCTCTTCATCATGTCTCTGGTTGATTATTAAATTTATTTGACTTTGTTTGAATAAATAAATCGTCAGTGGATCAAACAGACGAGGCCTGAGGTTCATGAAGGCACCACATCTCTAAAAGATCAGCTGCTCAGATCAGATCTGACTTTTAGACTAAATATCTGTGTCTATAGTCAAATAAAAAGACAAACTAAACAGATTTGAAAACAACGTTTGAAATAAGAAATAAAATGTTCATCTATAAAGAAATCAGAGTTGGTTTTAGATTCAACAGTTTTTTAAAAGTTTATAGAAAAGATTTGATGATAAAATAAACAATTAAGGATTTCAGTGTTTCCATCACGACCACACAGACTGAAGATGTTAAATGTTCGATGAATGAACGCGGAAGTCTAAAGGCGTCTGATTGGCCCGAGAGACGAAACTCTGAATCCAATGAACTCGAAGTGAGACGAGTTTTAATATTTGTAAAAACAGGTGAAATAAAGTTTCTGTTTGTAGAAAAAATGAAAAAAAAACTATTTGATAAGTACGTTGAACTTTTATTAGATGGATCTTTGTCTGAACTGAACTCAGAGAAACGTCATGAAGGACTTTGAAATGTTGTTTCTTCAGCAATGTAAATATTTACAAACGATGTTTGAAATGCAAAACGTGTTTAACACCGGAGGAAAGATGAAAGAGTTTGAAGAAGCAGGTGGAGGTGGGCGGAGTCAGGAGGAGTAGGAGGGGCTCAATCCCCTGAGTATGATGTAACCAGTGTTTTTGTTTTGTTTTTTACATTTTATAAATAATATATATGTGTTTTTTTTTTGTTTTAGCTCAAACATTTCATAAGGTTTAGTTTTTATTTTCTTTATTTTTCAGCTTTCAGGTTATTAATTATTCAGTATTTTAAATTTCAGGTTAAATGTTAGGTGATTTTTACTTTTCAGGTTATTTATTTTTTATAATTTTTGTTTTGAATTTTTAAAGGGACTTTTTTGAGTCATGAAGAAGTTCGATTTGGTCTGTTTGGTTTTTGATTTCATAACGTTAGAAGTTTTAGTTTCTCAGTCTTCATGCGTCTGATCCACCTGTGATATAAATTCATCTTTGTCACTGTGAATAAAACTTTCTCTAATTTACAGGTGATTTACACTTTTCTACAATATTTACATTGATGAATTAATAATGAGCAACAAATAAATAAATGAAACACTGGAGAGGTCAGATCTTAGAGAGATGAAAATATAATTTAATCATTTAGAAAAACAGGTTAAAAAAAAGAAAAATGTTCCACCTGTGTTTTCTGGTGGTGGCGCCCCCCGGTGGCCACGAGGCTGCGAGCAGTTTGTACCTGAAGTGATCCCGTCTCTCTCCGTCCTCAGATCAACATCGCCTCCCGAGGAAACGCCGCCCTCATCCTCTCCATCGACAACGCCAAACTGGCCACCGACGACTTCAAAGTCAAGTGAGTTCATGATAATCCGGTTCAGTCCCAGTCCCGCCAGGACCCGAATCCGCCTTGAACTCATGACCGTGTTGTTCCAGGTACGACAACGAGCTGGTGATACGTCAGTCGGTGGAGGCCGACATCGGCGGTCTGAGGAGGGTCCTGGACCAGCTGAGCCTGAGCCGCAGCGACCTGGAGATGCAGGTGCAGAGCTTCAAGGACGAGCTGATCCAGCTGAAGAGGAACCACGAGGAGGTGAGACCAGAACCAGAACCAGAACCAGATCAGGTAAAACATGAGACAGGTAAAGACTCACAGGTGTGCCCCCCCCCCGCAGGATCTGCTGGCTCTGCGGGCTCAGATGGGAGGCCAGGTGAACGTGGAGGTGGACGCCGCTCCTCAGGAGGACCTGTCCGCCGTCATGGCCGGAATCAGAGACCACTACGAGAACGTCGCCTCCAAGAACCGCAGAGACCTGGAGACCTGGTTCCAGTCCAAGGTGAGACCACAGACACCTGTCCCCTCATGAAGACATGTACCTGAACGTCACATCAGACAAAGAAACGCAGCAAATCTTCACTTTTTAAATCTGCAACTCGACTTTTTATCACATTTAAAAAGGTTTTCTTCTTCACGCTGAGTCAAAGATTCAGACTCAAAGTTCATTCTATAGAAAAGTCATCTGTGGAGGAAGATCATGTGACGTGACTTAAAGCTCCAGAACAGCTAGAACAGTCACACAATCTGTACACAGCACAGGAGAGAGAGAGGAGATGGGGAGGCAGAGAGAGGGGGAATGACATGTAGTAAAGGGCCGTCTGATGCGGGACTCGAGCCGGGGCCGACTGTGGCCTCTACACATGGGGCGCCTGCTTAGACCAACACGCCACACGACGCACGTCCAGGATTGTGTTTTTAAATCTGCATTGATCTGATTTCCTGATGTCCTGATATCTGATCAATAATCATATTGATCTACAGACAGTCGAGCTGAGCAAAGAGGTGGCCATGAGCACCGAGACTCTGCAGTCGTCCAAGTCCGAGGTCGGAGAGATCCGACGAACTCTTCAGACTCTGGAGATCAAACTCCAGGCTCAGATCAGCAAGGTGAGAAAACTCAATCAAAAATCAATCAACTATTGATTAATATCAATTCATTCATTCACGGTTCATTTCTGATATTTGATCCTGTTGATTTCAGCTCAGGATTAAAAACTGATGAAAAGTCAAAGTGTTTTTCTGGCAGTAAAAACCTCTGTCTTCCTCTGACTGCCCCCCCACAGAGAGGAGCTCTGGAGGGGGCTCTGACTGAGACCAAGAGCCGGTACGCCGCCATGCTGGGGGGTTTCCAGAGGCAGGTGGGTTGTCTGGAGGAGCAGCTGGCCCAGCTCCGGGCCGACCTGGAGGGTCAGGGCGTCCTGTACGCCGAGCTGCTGGATATCAAGACGCGACTGGAGCTGGAGATCGCCGAGTACAGGAGGCTGCTGGACGGAGAGACGGAGAGGTGGGTCCATCCTCCTCCTCGTCCCTCCTCATAAATATCAATATATAGATATAGATATATCAATATCTATATATATGGAGATGGTCCAGATCTATAGAATCTATATCTATATTTACTCATAGTTACAAACTACTTTTAACAGTTTAATATTAAAACAGATGCTCAACTTAAAATATCCAGTAATACAAGATATTATTAATAATACGTCTGTGAAAAGAGCTTTTCTGAAATATTACAGTTTTATTTTAATGCAGGTCTTTTACTCTCTGTCTCTCTCAGACCCAGCATCACCACCACTAAGACCACCCGGGTGGTGACCATCGTGCAGGAAGTGGACGCTGATGGAAACGTGGTGATGACCAGCACCAATTAGACCAGACATCAAACCAGTAACACCAGTCACAGTGTGTCACTGGAAACTGCCAGTGCTGATAGAGAATCTGAAATAAACAGTGGCACGTCCACTCTGAGGCTCCTGTGCTTTCACTTCACTGATCAGCTGTTCGTTCACTTTACTTTATTGAAGTAGATTTCAGAAAGAATCAGTTTGATTCATGTTGAATGAAATGATTTAATCTGTTCTCACGACATTGTCATTTAGTAAAAGTAAAATATTAACATTTCATCGGCTGTTGCTGTGAAATATTTTGATCAGTTATAGATTTTCTATCAGCAACAGAAAAACAAATATAAATATGAAAAGAAAGAGAGAAAAAAGAAAAATTAAATAAAATGAAAAATGAGAGAGAAACAATGATAATGAAAAGAGGAAGTCAAAATAAAGCAGGGAAATTAAAACAAATGCAAAAAAGAAAAATGAAATAAAAACAAAAATAAATAAAAAGGAAAAGAATTGTACTATTATTATTATTATTACCATTATTACTATTATTATTATTATTAAATGGTGAATTAAAAACTAGAAAAAAATAAGAATAAAGAAAAGAAGGAAAACAGCAGAGTAGGAGAAATGAAACAAAATGAATATGAATAAAAAATCAGTGACATTATTGATATTATATTCATTATTATTTAGAATTACATTGTTATTATTATATAATGATGAACTTCAAAAACAACAAATAAAAAACAAGAAAAGAAGAAAGGAACAAAGATGAAAATATTAGTTTTAAAATGACAAATAAATCAAAAGTTTCAAAAGCAGACTTCTTGTGTTTCATGGTCGAGGAGCGCAGATGTAGAAAACGTCCAGGTTTAAATCTTATGACACAAAAATAAAATGAAATCCTGCTGAAGCTGCAGCTTGTCTGAACTCAGAGTTAATTAATTCAGCAATTACACAAATTAAACTCTCCTGTCAGTGGTCAGTGGTTCAGAGGTAACATGTTGAGTTGGTGAACACTGACCTCGTGTGGCCAGAGTCAGAAACTGCAGCTCCATCATCCACCGTCAAATCATGAAAGGTTTCATGTCATTCATTTCATGTTTGTTCTCAACAGGAAGATTTCACTGTAAACATGTGGTTAAAACATATTTCACATACATTTTAAATATACGTGTATCTGAAATATAAGAGGAGGCGTCAGCTGAAGCCTGTTCACAGTGTTCTCCACAGAAAGATGTCTCCAGTTCAAACTAGACTCCGCTCCTCGTGGTCGTATCCCTCCGCCTCGCAGTCTAGTTCCAGGTTCCACCCTGTTTATCCACAGTCAGAGAAAATATGAAAATATGAAACATTAGTGTGAAATTTTCTCGTGATTTCTGTGTAAAGTCTTGAGTAATGCTTGTGTTTTCTGAGGTCACCACGACCTTGACCTTTGACCTTTAGCCACCAAAATCTAAGGTGTAGAGCTGTGTGTTTAAGATCACCTGTACAAGTTACGCCTCGTTTTGAAGGTTATGTAATGACTGTTCCTACGGCGACAGGTTGACATACATCAGTCGACTGTGATCACATGATCAGATGTCAGACTGACCTCATGAACAGTTTCAAGCTGCAGTGGTGAACCTGCACACCGTCACAGTGAGAAGGGAATGAGGGAATTCAGTGCTAGCTCTAGCAGTTAGCATTAGCATCATGTGGTGTCACAGTAATCAGAGAAATGAGTTGTGACAATCCTGAACGTCCGCTCGAGTTGGAGCACGACTCGCCGCATGGTGACGTCACAGCCACAGAAACAGAGGAAAGTAAATGTTTGGTCAAATTCACACACCGCATCATATTCTGCTGATGCTTAGTTTGTAGTGCGTGTCAGTAGCGTGGGTTAGCATTAACCCTGATCAGAAGAGCAGGTACCTTTAATGTTTCATGTTAGCTCCTGCCGCTAACATTAGCTTTTTCCCCACTGGTTTATGAGATAGTTAAATCTACTGTTATCTGCTAAGTGAAGCAGCTAACTGTGGCCTTTAGCATTAGCTTAGCATAAGCTTCCCCTCCCTGGACTCAAGGATGAACTGATTAGATTTTGGTGTTCAAAGGTCAAAGGTCAAAGGTCACGGTGATGGTGACCTCACAAAACACTTTTTAGCCGTTACTCAAGACTTCACAGCAATTATGAGGAAATGGTTGATATTTTCTGTGATGCTGGATAAACAGGATGTGACCTGGATCTAGTCTGTGTGGCGGAGGGATACGAGCACCAGGAGGAGATTCTAGTTCATCTTTGTTTTCAAAAATGTATTTTTTACTGTTTATTATGTTATTATTTACTATTATTTATCCGTGTTTATTCAGGGTAAAGACACTTTAATGAGAGTCACAGAGGGAATGTCGTGGTGAAAGTGGTTGTTATGTAAGAACTAAACCAGTTTATTCTTCTGGTTTAACTAATGAAACTCTCTGTTCTCCCCCGGTGTAATAATCTGAGACAATCCATCATCTTGTCATTAAAGTGTCAGTTTTAAAGTGTCACTTTCTTATATGTATAATAGTTCACCAGCTGACACACCTGAGGAGGATAATAAATCTTTGGTTAGAGAGGTGATATGATCTGCAGGTGAGCGGTGACCCAGGTGAGGTTTACAGAGGAGGATCACAGTGACACATTCCCTGCTGAGTGACGGCTTGGCTCTCTGCAACAGTGGCTGTCACTGTGTCATCCAGCGGAGCGGTAAACCATGAGGGGTGGGGGGTCAGGGCGAGGGTGTAGAAACAGGTTTGTTAACATGCAGACTTTTAAGATTCACTGAGCGTTACAGTTTCACTCTGATTGTATTTGTGGATTGTTCGCAGTGTTGATGAGGGCGTGATCGAGCTGATGAAAGACGGGACGCTGCTTTCACAAAGGCAGGAATGAGGTGAGGTGGTAATAAACAACTAGAATAAGAACAGGTGGGGGGTGAAGGGTTAAAGCTACACTGTTCAAACAGAAGTTTCCTAATGGAGAAAAATAAATGAGTCTGCAAACACCTGTGATCATCTCTGAAGGAGAGGGTTCAGGTAGAGGCCAGAATCAGCGTGGAGGCCTCAGATTGGTCGGGACGAGGTTCGATAATTAATCCAAATATCAGAACCTCAATGTGGTCATTGTTAGCATTAGCATTGTTAGCACCATAAGCATTGTGGTGCTAGAGACGCCACGACTGACATTTCATCTCCTCCAGACGTAAAGGAACAAAAATCACAATCACATGTACATACATACAACATACAACTCTCAGGCCATTGCTGCTGAGGATTATGGGTAACTTTCTCTTGGAACAAGGTGCTGTACTGGTCTGACTGAACATTCCTCACTTAGTGATGTATCACTCATTAGGTTTAATTAATTACACTGTGTGTAGAGAGAGAGAGAGAGAGACAGAGAGAGAGAGAGAGAGAGAGAGAGAGAGAGAGAGA